CCCCCTCACCCACTCCCTCGTCCCCTCCCTCAACCCTATCCTCCTCAGGAGCAAGCCAAATTGGTGGGGGAGGCCCTGGACCTGAGCTTCCAGGGGGTGCACTGATCTGAACAGATCCGCTCAGATCCGATCGGATCAGATCTGACCTGATCTGAACACATCTGATCTGGAAGCGCCGGTCGGATTCGTGTCGTTGGGCAGCCTCTCGCGCGCGGTGGATATGCGCGCGTGCAAGCACTCCCTTTTCCCGGCCGTGAGGCCTGCCTTCCCATTGGCTTGACCCCCTGGCTTGCTTCGCTTGTGAACCTCGCTCCTTTGGTCTCGTCCCGCGGCGCCGTTTGGACGCGCCGCGGCGCCAGCGGTGGGAGCCACTCTCTTTGCAGTCCAGTGTCCACCCCAGCGTGTTTTCATCCGAGCTGCAGCTGCCTTCAGTTCAGCTTGGATTGACGACCTAGTCGGTGCGGTTTGTGTTTCGTTGAAGCGCCATGCACCCAGCTTATTGCTGTGTAAGCATCATCCAATTTACTTTCTGTCTAGTGACCGGCTGATGAGCCGTTACAAAAGTTCAAAGACAGCAAGGCGCCATACGGTCAAGTCTTGCAAGGCGCAGGGGCGGCCTGTTGCACAAACATTGGCGGCTGATGGCAGGTGCCGTGTGTTCAAGGCGCCGTGTGCAGGCAAAACGTTGACACTTGCTGGAGTCCGAGTTGGTTGTTAGAAGGCAAGGATACTGATCTGGGAGCAAGACAGTTGCGGCTGCGGGAGGCTGGGAGGCAGTAGAAATTGCATGTGGCTGGCCTTGACAGAGAGGGCAAGGACGGGCCGGCGCAAAGGCGCGGGACGCGGCCCAGGGGGCGGCAGAGCAGGATACGCAGGGGACAGGCGCAGGGCGACCGCGGCACACCAGCAGCCACAAAGGGGGGTGGCATCCAAAGAAAGGAGTGCAAAGGGACACGATGCAGGCGACACAGCCCTGGGGGCCTGTGAACAAATACGCAAACGCTGCAAGGGTCAGGTAGGAGTGGGGTCCCTAGGGCAACCCAGCCAGGGCGCAAAAGCATGGGAAAACATATCTACAGCACACCCGAAAACACCGCCGCCATCTCCAGGGCCCAGGAAGCTGCCTCGGGCTCTGCGGGCATCTCATAGGGCGAGCAGGCGCCCTCATACCCCCCCTTGTTGGGCCCATCGCCCGCGCCCGCGCAGTCCAGCGGCGCGGCGCAGCGCCAGTGGTGCAGCAGGTGGCGGACGAAGGGGGCGGCCTCGGGGCTGCCCAGCTGCGGCTCCAGAAACTCGATGAAGTGAGTGTGGGGCGCGGACGCGCCGCGCGCAGCCGCCAGCACCGCCCGCGCCTGTGTTTGTGGGAGGTTGGGGGGTAAAAGGCATGTGTTGATGTGTCTGTGCCCGCTCTCATCTGGTGCATCATGTATCATCAGGCTTGATAAGCGAGGTTGGATGCACGCGTGCTCGCACAACTTGCCATGCCATGCGACGGCCCGAGCAAGGATCTGCATGCAGGCACCTTTTCCACGCGCACCTCGGCGATGGTGGCGGGGTCGGTGCCCTCCAACGGCAGCAGGAGGTCGGCGTCGTTGCAGTGGGGGGGCCAGTTGACTTCCGTGACAGCGATTGGCGCCAGGGGGGAGCGGCCTTGGACGCCGAGGTTGCCGCCGCCGCCACTGATGCCGCTGCTGGCCTCATCCTCCGTCTCGTGGGGGTGCGTCAGCTGCGACGGCTGCGGCGTGGCAGCGCCGCCATTGATCGGAGTCTGGCGGGTGGGGATGGCAAGGGTCCTGAGGGTTGGGAGCGCGACAGACTCCTGTGTGAGGAGCGGGTGCGGCGGCACTGCCGGCGCGGGAGGGTCGCAAAGTGGCTGCTTGTCGCGTGCGGGGTCCGGCTGCACAGCGATCGTCTGCGCAGGCAGCTTGATACAGGTCCTGCGGGCATCAAGTGGTTGCAGGCAAGGGCGCCAACGGGAGGTTTTGCGCAGCAGGTGGGGGTGACTGAGAGACGCGGCGTACTGACAAGCGCACGGCCGCCACACCGCTTCCGCAGCTGGATCGAGGTTGCAATCACAGGCCAGGATATTCACCCCTGCTTGGGGTGGTGGGGTAGTACCCCACCCCCATGGGGGGCAGAGGTGTCTTTACCCCAGGTGCCACATCCTCCTGATGCTGCGCACCTGGCCGTCAGGTTCTTCCTGATCCTGAGTCTGCCTCCGCGGGCCCGCCGGGTCTTGTCGTGGGTCTCGACTCGCGGTGTATTGACCTTCATGGGCTTCGCCATCGGCCTGCAGCGCGGTGTGCATGGATGCTGAGGAGCAGGGATGCGGTGTCATTGCACACCCAAGGCCTCCCGTCTGCCACGGCTTTTCTGGGCAGTCCGCTGAAAGCCAGCTTTCGTGGCTGCAATACATTGCAATCCCACCAGAATGTGCAGTTTGCAGGTGCACTCGCCTTGTGACGTTTGCGCCGACGGCCACGCGCTGCTGCGAAGCAACGGGCTCGGCGGCGGCGCGTTCCAGCAGCCGCAGAGACTTTCGGACAGGTTGGTTTGCTTTGTCTTCCTCCATCGCTGGCGGAGCCCAAATCGCAGCAGGTGGTGTTTTTCCGTTTGACCCGGGGTCGCAGCGCGGAAACAGTCGGCGAGAACTCGGCACTATACGAACTCTGTTGTCAACACTTCAACTTTCGCAATCGCTCACTGTACGGTACTGCTAGAGACACGATGGGTTTGTGCGGGCCACACTTGGCGACACTTCGCAAAGCAAACGTGGCGAAACACAAATCAAACAACAAATACCAACTATTTGTCGTCCACAATCCTTTTCACGAGCTTCAGCGCGCCTCGAGGACTTCTGTCGACCACTGGTCAAACATCCCTCTCGCAGGATGCAACGCAGTCAATTACCCGAGGATATGTGACTAAGCGCGCGTGATCAGGCGTATTACAAGACAGATGGCAAGCATCAGACCTTTGATGTCACGTGACATTGTCTTGCTGTGTAAACGAGCTGCTGTGCTCGTGAGTCTGATAATGTATGAAATATGGGCTGTTGTGGACGTGCCGCCACAATCCAGGCACTTGCGACCTCTGCACCACTGGCGCCTTGAACTTAAAGATGTGCTTACAAAAGATGATTTTTGAGCAATAGGGTGACATCAGGGGCCATGTGGAGGGCCAGCCGTTCACTGCAGTCGCATCTATATGTAAGGAAACTCAGCCGCGCTCCAGAGGAGGTAAATCTGAGCACCCACCCGAGGGCAGGCTATCCCGAGCGTCCACATGCAGTGGGGTTTGGCCTCGCACACGAGGGACTCGAACCTCAGACCAAGGGATCATGAGGTGTGGTCGAGTATCTGTGTGCGCCACAACAGCACCTGATGCCCCATTGCTACGTCACTGACTACATATACCTGCAATTAGGCAGCAGAGGCAGGTGATAAGAATGGTATCAGCAAAGCACAGCATATCAAAGCAAATCAACCATAACAAGATCAGCAGAAACAGCAACATCACCAGCAGCAGCAAAAGCTGCAGCAGAGCGTTGTGGCGGCGGCGGGGCACCTGCGACACGTGCAGCAGCTGTGAACGGCGGAGGTACCCGGGCGGCTGGGACAGCGACAGCAGCGGCCTGCAGCCGCCCCGGCGGCAGCAGACAATCCGGTGACAGCAGAGAACGCACTCCTGCAGAAGACAGTATCCAGTGAGCTCCGGCGCCTGCTTGTGGACGACCGGCAAAAAGTAGGCAGGAAGCTCGCCCTCAACGGCCTGCCGACACCAGCGCGGCTGCATCCACCAAGTTGGCCCACTGCCAGGCCACTGGCATGTCCAACGTAATTGCAGAGTTGCGCGGCAGCTCGTCCAGCGACAACTCTCCCCCCCCCCTGGGCGTGCCCGCTCGATTGCTCCCAGGTGTGGCTCTGCTGCGCACAGCTGGGCAGACCTGTGCCGCAGGTCTGGCTTATCGTCTGTCTTGCGGTGGTGGAGGCCATGGACTTGTGGACGGCCCTGCCGTGGTGGCACACCTGGGGCCCCCGGCAGTGCAATGGCAGCTGCCTCAGCGGCCGCGTGAGAAGGAGGCTTAGGAGGAGCAGGGGCGGCTGCGCGGCAGCGGCAACAGCATGGCGGTTGGCGAAGGCAGTAAAAGCGGCAGCAGACGGCTCGCCTTTGAGGAGGCCGGCACACATGTCCTAGCGGGCCACTGGAGAAAGGATTGGGAACCGGCCTAGCGTGCTTCCCCACCCGCCACGTTATGTCGACAGGGGCCGCCCTCCACGTCAGCACCCACGGCAGCGGCGACAGCCTGACCTGCGGCAGGGCAGCATGCGGCAGTGGCAGCAGCCGTGCTGGCGGTGATTGCGGGACTGCACAGGAGGCGGCAGCACGCAGGGCCGGTGCGATGTTTATAGGGGCAAATGATGCAGCTGGGCACTCGCCGCCGCCAGCTGTGCCCCCTGTACGGCTAGCACTGGCGGGCGTTGACGGCTTGACCTGCTCTCTTTTTTAATTGGCACAATCGGGAGTGTGTGTGCTTGATGGGATTCAGAGGTGCCCAACCCCCACCCAGTCATGCAGTCGGATTCGACATCTGGACTCTGGGGCCGTCGGCGACGGTGGCGACAGCGGTGATGACGGCGTCAGCCGCGGTGGCGGCGGTGGCGTCGGCGGCGGCAGCATTGGCACCAAGCAGGCCGATTGATGAGGGTGTTGGCTGCTGGTTGCGATGAGGGATGGCGCATGCAAATATGCGCCCAGGGTTTATCGCACGTCAGTCCCGTGTCTCCTGCGCAGTCCCTGGCCTTTTATTTCTCTAGTGGTCTTCTCCGCACCTTCGCGCCATGCAGGCAAAGCGCTTGCGGCGCCGTTCGCTCCTTCATCCTGGGCATGGCGCCTGCTTCGCAAACGGCTGGTTTGCTGTGCTGTGCTTGTACAACTTCCTCTGGCGTTGTTCCCACGCCGTCTGGGTGGGCCATGTTGCCAGCGGTGGCGTCTTCATTTTTTCAGTCTTTGTAAGTACCGCGTGTTGCCTCGTTCATGCTGCGGCTCCCTGCCGTTGTTGTTGGTGCAAATTGTGCAGCGTGTGTTGGGTTGAAGCTCCGTACACACGGAAGCTTGCTGCAAATTTTGCTATGTAAGCATTACTGCCTTAAATCCTAGCCCTAAACCCTGATGCCCAAGCCCTAGACCCTGAATCCAAGCTGAAACAACGTTTATTAATACTATCTGAGAGATTCTGGTCACAAATTTTTGATGTAGCGTTTTCAATCAATTATGGGTTCTCTGCGACCAAGTCACATCACCTGAGCCATTACAAAAATACAGAGAGCGCAAGGGGCCGGTCAAGTCTTGCAAGGCGCAGGGGCGGCCTGTTGCACAAATTTTGGGGCCTGCTGGCAGGTGCCGTCCGTTCAAGGCGCCGTGTGCTGGCAAATGGTGCGCGTTTATTGGGGTCCGAGTTGGTTGTTGAGAGGCATATCCAGGAGCAAGACAGTTGCGGCTGCAGAAGGTGGGGAGGCAGTAGAAATTGCATGTGGCTGGCCTCGACAGAGAGGGCAAGGACGGGCTGGCGCAAAGGCGCGGGACGCGGCCCAGGGGGCGGCAGAGCAGGATACGCAGGGGGCAGGCGTGGAGCGACCATGGCACACTGGCAGCCACAAAGGGGGGTGGTGTCCACAGGAAGGGGTGCGAAGGGGCAGGGTGCAGGCGACACAGTCCTGGGGGCCTGTGAAGAAATGCGCAAACGCTGCAAGGGTCAGGTAGGAGTGGGTTCTCTAGAGCAACTAGATCATGGCGTGAGCGGACGGAACAACGGCTCTACAGCAGGCCGGAGAACACCGCCGCCATCTCCAGGGCCCAGGAGGCCGCCTCGGGCTCCGCGGGCATCTCGTAGGGCCAGCAGGCGCCCTCGTTCCCCGCCTCGTTGGGCCCACCGCCCGCGTCCGCGCAGTCCAGCGGCGCGGCGCAGCGCCAGTGGTGCAGCAGGTGGCGGACGAAGGGGACGGCCTCGGGGCTGCCCAGATTCTGCTCCACGAACTCGATGAAGAGGGTGTGGGGCGCGGACGCGCCGCGCGCAGCCGCCAGCAACGCGCGCGCCTGCGCTTGTGGGAGCGTGAGGGGTGGAACGAAGGGGTGTGTTGATGTGTCTGTGCCCGCTCTCGTCTGGTGCATCATGTATCACCAGGCTTGATAAGCGAGGTTGGATGCACGCGTGCTCGCACAATTTGCCATGCCATTCGACGGCCCGAGCAAGGATCTGCATGCAGGCAACTTTCCTCGCGCACCTCGGCGATGGTGGCGGGGTCGGTGCCCTCCGACGGCAGCAGGAGGTCGGCGCCGCTGCAGTGCGGGGGCCAGTTGACCTCCGTGACCGCGATTGGCGCCAGGGGGGAGCGGCCTTGGACGCCGAGGTTGCCGCCGCCGCCGCTGATGCCGCTGCTGACCTCATCCTCCGTCTGGTGGGGGTGCGTCAGCGACGACGGCTGCTGCCACGGCTGCGGCGTGGCGGTGCCGCCACTGATCGGAGTCTGGCGGGTGGGGATGGCAAGGGTCCTGAGGGTTGGGAGCGCAACGGACTCCTGTGTGTCCAGCAGGTGCGGCGGTACCGCAGGCACGGGAGCGTCGTGGTGGGGCTGCTGGGGAAGCGCGGAGTCGTCCTGCTGCTGCGAACGTGTCTCTGCGGCCGCCTCGCGCAGCACCCTGCATGCATCGCGTTGTTTGCAGGCAAGGACGTTTGGAGGTGTCAGTAACTAGGGAACGAAACCGATTGAACCAACGTGCAGTCTGAATGCTGCTGATGAGTCGTGACTGCCTGTGAGTTCGCACACACAGCCCCACAAAACCAGGATGGATGGACAGGGGTGCGCTTGGCCCAGGAACTGCGTTTCCCCCCTCGGACACGTACCTTTTCTTGGTGTTTTTCCTCATCTTGAGTCTGCCTCCGCGATCCTTCTGCTTGTCGGTCTTGTGTGCTTGCAGCTGCTTCTTCAACCTCCCCGCGGGCCGCCTGTGGCAACGGGCGGGGGCCAGTGCAAAACCATCATGTGATGCCAGTTCGCAAGCACGACCTCTCAGCGTAGATGGTGGTCCGCATGAGGGCAATAGGGGATGCACGGTCTGTGTGCGTGGCTGCAGCGCAACGCAGTGCTGTTCGCGCAGGCGCACTTGCCTTGTGCGCGTGTTCGCTGCAGGCGCGCGCCGCTGCGTGGCAGGGGGCTCGGCGGCGGCGCGCTCCATCAGCCGCAGAGACATCCGTCTCGATTCGCATAACTCTGCGCCCTCCATCGCCCAAGTGCTCAAACTCGAGACCCACGGTACGTTCTCTGTTTGACTCAGGTCGCAGATTATACGTCTACGGTACACTCTACGTATTGAAGAAAGTGATAAGCTAGAATGTATGTAACACTGTCGAATATAGATCATGATGCAAAGAGACCTGTCTCATGGATGCCATTTTCACCGACACGGAGGCGGACGGTTTCACGTGGGTTGACCCGCACCTCAAGAGAACGGAAGACAAAGAGTTCTAGCAACAGTAGAAATTCATAATTTCTTTCAGATTCACGCGCAGTGCAGACTTCGACGCGCTCGGTGCACTACGGTATGGACCGAGCACGGTCAAACGAGGTACACTGTGGTCATAAATGTGGCATAACTGCGGTCGCGCGCTTGACAATGGGTCTCAAGCGGCAATTTAAGGCACTAGGTCCCGACCATGCGGAGTCAGCGGATCTGGCTGTGCTCTGCTGTCTGACTATGAGTGGCAAAAGCAAGAATACAAATTGTCATAGTTTACTTGACCTTGCTCCACAAACCTTGTTACATGAACTCCCAAAGAAAATCATGATCAGCAGAATGGAGAGGACTCCAGCATCATTCTTCAACAATAGGGAGGGTGTCACCAGGGCCATGTGATGAGCCAGCCATTCTCTGCAGTCGCATCATAGGGAGGCTCAATCGAGCGTGTCGAGAGCACCCACCCAGAGGTGAGTCCCAGCGTCCACATGCAGTGGGGTTTGGCTTCGCACACATAGGGTTCGAACTCATGACCATGGGGTCATGAAAGGTGAGCGAACATCTTTGTGCGTCACATCAGCATCTGATGCCATGCGCATTGATCACTGCCTACATGTACCTGCAACAAGCCAATAAAACAAGGGATTTGGATGTCTTTGACTTGAAGCAAAGCAATGAGAAGTTAGAGAATCCTATGGCGCTGGCCCCAAGCTCCTACAGTTTCTTGTCCTTTTTCCACCATCCTTGTTCGGTGAACAACCCCTGCCTCTGGTGTGTTTTGCACCTTCTTGCCCACTGGCTGACATGCGCGGCGCTGTTCGCCGGTGCTTTGCCGTGTTGGAGTCATATGCAGATTCACACTGCACGGGAAACAGACATGCGTGCAGACCCACACTGCACGGGGATCGCCCCCAAGAACGCGCCAAAGCCGATTTGAGGGCCGGGGCAAACCCGTATGCAGCCCTGCCGCCATCCAGTATGGCTGGCCCACTTGGCTGGTGCTATGCTCAGCAGCAGCAGCAGCAGCAGCAGCAGCAGCAGCAGCAGCAGCAGCAGCAGCAGCAGCAGCAGCAGCAATTGTTTTCACCGGGAAGAGACCGAAATAGTGTTAGCACTGGAGGCTGGCGTGGCGGCGGATGGTGAGGCGTCGGCGGCGGCAAGCGACGCAGCGACGTGCCTGCCTTACTTTGGCGACCCGCCGTGCAGTCGCTTTGCCGCGCCATTGACGATAGTGGAAGCTGGCCGTGCAGCACGTGCGCTTTCTGTAACCTCCACTTGCGATTGGATGTCGCAGCAGAGCGGCTTGCGCCGCCTTACATACAACACGGGGCCATCAAGGAAACTCTCCGCTCATCTAGGGCCATCGCCCGTAGCAAGCTGTCACGATGGCAGCGGGGCTGGCAATTGCAGTGATGATCGGCGGGAAGCTGGACGGCTCTGGGGGTGCTCAAGAGTGTGAGACCGCTTTGCGTGTTTGTGGAGAGGGGCGGCAAAACATACAGTGGCGACATCTGTATGTGACTGATGGGTAGCCTAGTTGAGGCCGCGTTGACCTTTACTGTGTACCCTTCAAGTAAGCAAGCAGGCAACTGACACCTGTGCAAGGCAATGGCTCACAGCACCGCCGCATGCATGTTGGCATGCATGCGTGATGGCGGGGTCCAATTAATTCGTGCTGAAGTGGTGCCTGCAGTGCCCCGAGTCCCCTTCTGCGTTGAACCTCTTCCTCTGGATTTGTATTGACTTTATCTTCCCCCGGGGCAAACCATCCAACGTGCTGAGCGCACAACCCACCCTCTCAGGATCCAGCAGGTTCATCGTGGCGCAGGCTACTGGCTGGGCGGCGCGGCGGCCCTGCAGGCGGCCGCCCCCGCGCCGGCCAGCAGCACAAGCAGCGCAAACTCCGAGGGCCGCTGGTCGCCCGCGGCGCCGGCCGTGGTTGAGGCGGCGTAATCGAATCGGCCGCGGATGTCAGTGTAGCCGTCCTGGCAGCAAGGAGTGCGGGCAACCGTGGGCATGGTTAGACTCTAGGCAGGGCAGCAGGGGTGCAGCAGGGCATATGGTGTCAGGTTGCCCACGACACACGCATGCTGACGTTTGGGAGCAGGCGTGCAGGCTCTTTGAAAGAGGCTGCTGAGGTGCGACAAGGCAGCCAGCATAGCAACATGTGTCAGAGACGGACCTCGCATGTTGGTACGTGCGGGATGCATGAGGCCGAGCAAGCCGTCTTTCCCGCCCAACCGCCGCACCTTGTGGAACCAGGGCGCCCCTTTGGGGCCGCTCCTCGCAAACACCTTGACGTACGCCCCCACCGCCGGCGCGGCGGCCGCGGCCGGCCCCGTCGCCCCGGTGGCGCCGCGCAGGGGCGCGACCAGGGCAGTCGCAAGGCCCAGGGCCTCCGACACGTGCACCTGCAGGCGGCTCGCAAACCTGCGGGGGCGAAAAATATGATGTTTTGCTCGCCTGATCAGCCCCATGCTGCGTTCTGCCCGTCAGCAGCCTTACCGGTCATCAACGGCATCGTCGCGGTCAGCAGCAGCACGCCGGCGGGCTGCTCATGTTTGCAGCGAGCGGCCCACCTGTGAGCCGTCCGGGTGAGGCCGCCGCCGCTGACCTCCACCAAGATGCTGCTGCTGTCATCCACGCCCCGCAGGACCTCCGACAGCCTCAGCGCCGACAATGCCAGGCCGCCCTCCCCGCCGCCGTCCCCGCCGGCCGCGGCCGCCACTGGCACAGTCGCCGACGCCGTCGGCCGCACAAACGCGACGCGTCCCAGCCCTCCTCCTCCGCCGCCGCCGCCGCCGCCGAGAGCGGCCTGCCCAAAGGGGTCCGAGGTGAACAGCAGCTCCGCGTCGACCGTGTAGGCGCTGACGCGTAGTGACGTCACCCCGCGGGACCTGACGAGAAGCCGGCCCTCGGGGTCGAAGCCGCCAAGCGTCAGCAGTGGCTCATTGTCTTCGGAATCTGCGGACATGGCGGCCGCCGCGTCGGCGACGGCCGCGCCGGGCGTCGCTGCTGCGGCCGCAGCCGCGGCGGTGGCCGACGCCTGCTGGAAGCGCTTGCGCCAGGCCTGAGGGTGTTGGTTGTGCAGCAGAGGCGGGTGCCAGCATTCGAGGAGGGAACAAGAATTTGTTTGTCGCGACTCTATTGCACTCCTGTCTCTATGAAAACACACAAAAAGCACGCGAGGCCACAGGCCCAAGCAGAGGCTCCCTGTACCTGCAAGCTGAGCATGGCGTCACAAAAAAACACACAAGGCGCACAGGCACGCGCACGCACACGCGCGCGCGCGCACACACACACACACACACACACACACACACACACACACACACACGCACGCACGCACGCACGCACGCACACGCACACACACACACACTGTGCTGTGTCCCCAGTGCTCACAGGGTCCACAGCCTCATCCTGCGCATACGAATCTGCCAGAGCAGCAGCTGCCCGCAGCCCCGCAGCAGCCGCTGCCGCCGCCGCCGCCGCCGGTTCAGCGGCTGCCCCAGCCAACCCCGGCCCCGCGGCGGGGGCGGCGGG